TCAATCTAAATGCCCATTAATGGTAGACTGGGTAAAGAAAATGTGGTACATATGCACCATGAAATACTATGTAGACATCAAAAAGATTGAGATCATATCCTTTACAGGAACATGGATCGAGCTGGAGGACAATTACTAAGGATAATGGATGTTATTATCCTTAGTAAATTAATGCAGGAACAGAAAATCAAATACCACATGTTGTCACCTCTAAGTGGGAGTTAAATGATGAAATCCCATGGACACATAGAGGGAAACAACACACTGGAACCTACCAGAAGGTGGAGGTAGAGGGAGGGAGAAAATCAAGAAAAATAACTGTTGGATACTAGGCTTAATACCTGGGTGATGAAATAATCTGTACAACAAACCCCTATGACACAGGTTTACCTATATAACAAACCTACACATGTATCCCTAAACTTACAAGTTAAAAAAATAAGTAAAATAGAAAGTATTTTACATTTCAAGAAAATAAATTTAAACGATACAAGAAAAAGAAATATCCAAGCCAAGCTGGATAATTTAATCAAACATGTAATGAAGAAATAAAACCAATATTACACAATATTTTCCCAAAAAAGAAAAAGAGGAAAATGTGTTCTAGTTGGTTTGATATAACTAGTATTACTCTACTATAAAAGCCAAACACAGTAGAGACAGACAACACAAACCAATATTGCTCATGAACTTAGGTGCAAAAATTCTCAGCACAATATTAGAAAACGGAATCCAACAAGGTGTAAAAAGCTTCATAAAAACCCTAGAAGAAAACCTAGGCAACACCATTCAGGTCATGGGCACAGGTAAGGACTTCATGACTAAAACACCAAAAACAATGGCAACAAAAGCCAAAATAGACAAATGGGATCTAATTAAACTTAAGAGATTCTGTACAGCAAAAGAAACAATCATTAGAGTAAACCAACAACCAACAGAATGGGAAAAATTGTTTGCAATATACCCATCTGTCAAAGGACTAATATCCAGAACCTACAAAGAACTAAAGCAGATTTACAAGAAAAAAAGCAAACAAACCCATTCAAAAAGTGGGCAAAGGATATGAACAGACACTTCTCAAAAGAAGACATTCATGTGGCCAACAAACATATGAAAAAATGTTCATCATCATTGGTCATTAGAGAAATGCAAATCAAAACCACATTTAGACATGATCTCATGCCAGTTAGAATGGCAGATCATTAAAAAATCTGTGACAACAGATGCTGGAGAGGATGTGGAGAAAAAGAAACACTTTTACACTGTTGGTGGGAGTGTACATTAGTTCAACCATTATGGAAGACAGTGTGTTGATTCCTCAAGGATCTAGAAATGGAAATTCCATTTGACCCAGCAATCCCATTACTGGGTATATACCCAAAGGACTATAAAGCATTCTATTATAAAGACACATGCACACGTATGTTCGCTGCAGCACTGTTTACAATAGCAAAGACCTGGAACCAACCCAAATGCCCATCAATGATAGACTGGACAAAGAAAATGTGGCACATATACACCATGGAATACTATGCAGCCATAAAAGTCAATGAGTTCGTGTCCTTTGTAGATACGTGGATGAATCTAGAAACTATCATTCTCAGCAAACTGACACAAGAACAGAAAACCAAACACCGCATGCTCTCACTCATAGGCGGGTGATGAACAATGAGAACACTTGGGCACAGGGAGGGAAGTATCACACACTGGGCTAGGTGCGGGCGTGGAAGGAAGGGTGGGGAAAAGGACAGCCTGGGGCGGGGAGGATGGGGAGGGATAACACCAGGAGTAATGAATGACTGATGCAGGTGACGGAGGGGGTGGGGATGGAGACAGCAAACCACCATGGCATGTATGTACCTATGCAACAATCCTGCAGGATGCAGGATGTGCACATGTACCCCAGAGTCCAAAGTACAATAAAAAAAATGATCAAGTGGATTTTATTCAAATTATATAGGGCTCATTCAACATTTGTAAATTAATTAGTATAATTTACCATATTAATAAACAAAAGAAAAATCATACGATCATACCAATTGATGCAGAATGCATTTGATAAAACCCATCATCCAATCATAATAAAAACATTTAGCTAATTGGAATACAAGGAAGTTACTCTAACTTGATAAAGATATCTATTTAAAAACTTATAACTAACATCATATCTTGTGGTGAAAGACAATGCTTTTGCTCTAAGATTAGGAACAAAGCAAGAATTTCTGCTCTCACCATTCTTATTCAATATAGTACTGGAAATTCTAGCTACTGCAATGATGCAAGGAAAGATACAAAAGACATAAATATTGTAAAGGAAGAAATAAAACTGTCCTTGTTTGCAAATGACATAATTATCTAAGTAGTAATTTCCAATGAGTCGACTAAAACTCCTAGAACTAATCAGTGAGTTTGGCAATGTTTCAAGATGAAAGATCAACATTAAAAAAGTAATCATTTCTACATGCTAACAACAAACATGCAGAGACCAAAAATTAAAAAGGCAGTATCATTTGCAATCCCTTCAAAGTAAATGAAATATATAGGTATATATTTAACAGAACATGTGTAGATTCTGTATGCTGAGGATTACAAAATGCTGCTTAAAGAAATAAAAGAAGACCTGAATGCTTGGAAAGTATTGGAAACTGTGTTCATGGATTGAAAGTCTCAATAAAGATATCCGTTATCCCCAAATGGATCTTTAGGTTTAATTGATTTCACAATCCCATCATGTTTTTGCAGGAATAGACGAGCTTATTTTCAAATTTGTACAGAAAGGCAAGGGAACTAAAATAGTTGAATCACTCTACTGACATTAGTACTTAATAGACAGCACAGTAATCAAAACAATAAAAATAGGGTATTTGCGCCGGGTGCAGTGGCTCATGCCTGTAATCCCAGCACTTTGGGAGGCCGAGGCGGGTGGATCACGAGGTCAAGAGATCGAGACCATCCTGGTCAATATAGTGAAACCCCGTCTCTACCAAAAATACAAAAAATTAGCTGGGCATGGTGGTGCATGGCTGTAATCCCAGCTACTCAGGAGGCTGAGGCAGGAGAATCGCCTGAACCCAGGAGGTGGAGGTTGTGGTGAGCCGAGATCACGCCATTGCACTCCAGCCTGGGTAGCAAGAGCGAAACTCCGTCTCAAAAAAAAAAGAAAAAAAAAAATAGGGTATTTGCAATGAGATAGACACAAAGATCAATGGGACAGAATGGAGAACCCCGAAATAAACTCAAACAATATGCTCCATCAAGTTTTGACAAGCAAAAGCAATTTAAGTGGAGAAGGATAATCTTTTTCAACAAAGAGTCCTGGAGCTATTGGACATCCATAGGCAAAGAAGCAAAATCCACCCTAAACTTCACATCTTATATAAAAATTAACTCCAAATGGGTCATGACATGTAAATCTACACAATTTTTCAAGAAAACCTTCAATATTTAGGGCTAAGCAGTTGTTAGACTTGAAACAAATGCCACTATCCATAAAAACAAAGTTAAAAAATTCAAACTTGTCAAAATTAACCACTTTGGTTCTGACAAAGACATGTTAAGAGGATGAAAGAATAAAATATACACTACATGAATATACTTGCACAAGAATATATTTGCACACACCCATAGGATAATGGACTAATATTTAGAATACATGAAGGACTCTCAAAACTTAATAGGAACAAACAAGCAATCCAATTAGAAAATAAGCAGGTATTTCACTAAGTAGGATTTGATATGGCAAATAAGCACATGAAAAGACTGATCACTGGAGACATGCAAATTAAAACCACAATGTGATATCATTATCTGTATATCAGAATGGCTAATTTTTTAAGTGATAATACCAAATGCTGTTGAGGATACAGCAGAGAAACTAGATACATTGCTACCAGGAATGTAAAATGGTATAGCCACTATGGAAAAGTTTGGCAGTTTTTATAACACTAAATATTCAACTATCATAACCCATCAATTATACTCTTGGGAATTTGTCCCAGAGAAAACATATTAACAAAATCATCTGTATATCTTTTACAGCATCTTTATTTAACAAATTAACATACCAAATATATAGCGTACCAAAAATTGAAAATAACCCAGATACCCATCAATGGGCAAATAATTAACAAATGTAGCATACCCCACCATGAAATATTACTCTTCAATAAAAAAGAAGTAACTACTGATATACACAAAATGTTGGATGAAATCTCCAGGGAATTGTACTGACTGAAAAAAAAAAAAGCCAATCCTAAAATATTATAAACTGTATAATTCCTTTATGTAACATTCTTGAAATGACAAATTGGAAAAATTTGAGAACAATTTATTGATTGCCTATGGTCAGGGAGTCAGGAATGGGGTGGAAGAGCGAGTTGGGCATGGTTATAAAAGGGACCTCACGAGGGATCTTTGTACTGATGGAATTGTTTTCTATTTTGGTGGTATCAAACGTCAATATTATAATTGTAAATTATACTATATTTTTGCAAGATTTGGAAAACTGGTACCTCCTGAAACACCTATAGAACCAGAAAAAAAATACAAATAAATGCTTTTTAAGACATTGGCTATTGGATGAAAAAAGACATCAATCCTTAAGATACAGGAAATAAATTATGTGAGCAGTAAGATTACTCCAACTTACTGTTTGGAAAGTTTTCAGGCCTGTATGGCGGGCAGGTACCCAAGTAGATCTTAGTAATCTCCCCGAGTTAAGAATACAGAATCAGAAGTGAAAGGCTAGAGTTGGGAGAGCAGAGTTTTGGAGAAGAACTAATTGCAAAGCGTCAGCTCCACATATCTGCCATAGTCTTACTGTAGTCTTCAGCTGAGTAATGATCAGCAAGTGTCTGTGAGCATGTTCCGCCTGGCAGAGGAAAGACTCACATGAAATGACTGGAGGGGGTTTGTGCTTTGCGCTTTCCTCCTTCCGTGCTTTCTAGCCACCTGGCGCCACACTTTCTCCTAACCTAGCATGTAGCTGCCGGGCGGCCGCCATGAACTCCGGAGCCAAGAGGATCCACAGTAAAGGATCTTTCCAGGCAGGTGGAATGCAAATAAAAAATGATAAAAGCAGACTATCTTTGAAATCTCTGAAAACTGATAACAGATCAGAAAAAATCAAAATATAAACCACTTCGGGGAAAAGTATTGTGCCTTGACTTACCTTCTGTCACCAAATCTGAAAAACTGCAAAAGGACATTAAGGATCTGGGAGAGAGAGTTGAAGAATTTCTCAGCAAAGATATCAGTTATTTTATTTCAAATAAGAAGGAAGCTAAATTTGCACAAACCTTGGGTCAAATTTCTCCTGTACAAAGTCCAGAATGTGCATATACTGCAGAAACCACATCACCTCATCCCAGCCATGTTGGAGGTTCATTTAAGTCACCAGACACAGTCTTTTTATATGTGTGTTTAAGCAGAGGAAAATTACTAATTGAATGGGCTTTCAAGGACCATGATTTTATTCCTTCAAATAGTGTATTAACAAATGCCGTATCACAGGGATTAAAAAATTCTTCATGTTGATTACATTGGATGCTACATTGAACAAAAGAAAACAAAAGTTGTATTTACTCAAGAAATTAAGTACTTCAGTAAGTAAGGGATGCAGGGAAAAGAGTTGGTACTGGTGCACAAAAAAATCAAGAACAGGAAGACTCAAAAAGCCTTTCATAAAGGTAGAAGATATGAGCCAACTTTGTAGGCCATTTTATCTTTAGCTGACCAATATGCCTTTTATAAATTATTCTATACAGAAGCCCTGCAGTCCATTTGATGTAGAAAAGCCATCTAGTATGCAAAAGCAAACACAGGTTAAACTAAGAATCCAAATGGATGGTGATAAATATGGTGGAACCTTAATTCAACTCGAGCTGAAAGAGAAGAAAAAAGGATATTGTGAATGTTGCTTGCAGAAATATGAAGATATAGAAACTGTTGGTCCTGAAGTTTTACTTTGCTGGTATAGCAACAAAATAATCTGGAATAGATGCTTAATTTGGTGCTGAGAAAATTTCAAGGCTGAAAAATGGAACATATGTTCATTGGTTGCCATAAAGAAGGAAAATTAGTGAAAGCAGATGTTGAGATTTGAGCACCTTCTAAGTGAGCAACACAGAAACAGGATCAAGTTGTTGATGATATTGTATCTAAGTTAGTTTTTGACTTTGTGGAATATGAAAAGGACACACCTAAAAAGAAAAGAATAAAATACAAGGTTGAATCCCTTTCTCCTGTTTCTGCAAATGCCCTGAAAAAGACAGAACAGAAGAAAAAGTGGAATTGCAATATATTTCTCAGAAAGATTGCTGGAAAGATGATATACAGGCAATGGAGCAGAATTTCTTGTATAAAGACACCCAGGGAACTGAAAAAAGCTTGTGTTTATTTCAGAGCCCAAACCCATCCTTCAAATAAATCGAGAGGACTTAGTAAGAAAACAACTAATAAATGTTCCATGTTCAATACGGCTGAAAATGACATAAGACAGAATTTTATACAGTTACCTCTATGTAAAAACAAACAAATGCATTCTTGACATTTCTGAACACACATTAAATGAAAATGACTTAGAATTACTAAGGGTAGATTACCATTGTTGTAGCATACAGGCATCTGTACATGTTTCCGATTTCAATACAGATAATAGTGCATCTCAACCAAAACAAAAGTCAGATACTGTGCGTTTTCCAGTAAAGGATCTCAAGGAAAAGGACCTTCATTCAATATTTGCTCATGATTCTGGTCTGATAACAATAAACAGTTCACAAGAGCACCTAACTGTTCAGGCAAAGGCTCCATTCCATACTTCTGAGGAACCCAATGAATGTGACATCAAGCATATGAATAGTTTACCTTCTGGTAAAATACATTGAAAAGCTAAAATATTGCTTTGATGAAATAGAAAAGAAAATCTGGAACTAAATGTGAATTTGATAAAACAACTGATTTTATTACACAAGAAGAAAACAGAATTTGTAGTTCACTGGTACAGTCTTTACTAGACTTGTTTCAGACTAGTGAAGAGAAATCAGAATTGAGTTTCACAAGCTACACTGAAAACAGTGGTATAGGCAATGTTTTAGATATTTGGGAAGAGGGAAATTCAAATAATCTGTTGAGAATGCTTTTCTCTTCCCCTTCAACTTCTACATTTACTGGCTTTTAGACTTTAAAAAATGGATACTTTTCAGAAGTGATAAGGATCATATTCTTGAAATTTTTATAAGTATGTATGGAAATTCTTGGGAATATTTTTTACCAACTTTGTTTACAGAACAAAATGTAAATATTAAAAATAAATGTAACATTTGCAGTTTTCTACAAAAAAAAAAAGAGAATGAAATGACTGCAGGGGGCCAGGCACAGTGGCTCATGCCTATAATCCCAGCACTTTGGGAGGCTGAGGTGGGCAGATTGCTTGAGACCAACCTGGGTGAAACTCTGCTTCTACAAAAAAAAAAAAAAAAAAGTACAAAACGATTAGCCAGCTTTGGTGGTGTGTGCCTACAGTTCCAGCTATTCTGGAGGCTGAGGTGAGAGGCTCGCTTGAGCCTGGGAAGTTGAGGCTACAGTGAGCCATGATCTCATGACTGCACTCCAGCCTGGAAAACAGAGTGAGACAAAAATAGAAGGAAAGAAGGGAGGGAGGGAGAGAGGGAGGGTTGGAAAGGAGAGAGGGAGGGAGGGAGGGAGGGAGGGAGGAAGGAAGGAAGGAAGGAAGGAAGGAAGGAAGGAAGGAAGGAAGGAAAGAAAAGATCTGTTCCCACAGCTCAAACAGGACAAGGAATGTTTTCTGTTCCCATGAATTAGAGTGAGAAACTTCATAATTTACAGGCATCAAGTAAGAATACCCAGAAAGTTTTACCTGTGTAGGGCAAGTTGGTTCTAGACTAAAGGCTGCTTTGATTCCATTTTTAAAGAAGAGTTTTAAAAAAGGACCTGAGAGGATGAAACTCTTTTCAAAAACTGTAACATGTCAGAACAAGCCACAAGAATATGTATAGCATTTCAAATACCGAGCACCTAAAAAGGTCAATTTCAGGAGAGAAAGACCTAGCTACCCTGATAGCATGCTTAGTATGTGATGCTCTGTACCACCTTGGGACTGTGAAGAGATCCTACCAGCAAGAAAGCTTTTGCCAGATGCAGCCCCTCAATGTTGTACTTCTCAGCCTCTAGAACTGCAAGAAATAAATTCCTTTTCTTTATAAATTATAAATTTCAAGTATTCTAAGTGCTGGAACATGGATTGAGATGTGCCAATAACTAGAGAAACAATTGGATCTGTCAAGGAGACCCACGAATGATATAAAAAGGTCCAAATCCAACTTCAATATATGAAAACTACAGTTTATGGGATTGAAAATACATTGGATGGGATTAATAGCAGATTACACAGTAAAGATGAAATGATTAGTGAGCTTGACAACAGAGCAATAGAGCTATCAAAAAAAAAAAAAGAGGAAAAGGACAGCTAAGGGATTGAGGGATAATTTAGCAAGTTATGTCATAATCGAATTGCTCAAAACTAGTGATGGAGTAAATTTTAAAAGCAAGAGAAAAAGCACATTGTGTGTAGAGTACCAAGGAAATGATGATCTTCAATTTCGCATTGGAAACAATGCAAGTTAGATGACAGTGTAACTACATCTTTAAATTAATTAAGAAAAAATTAACCTGAATATCTAACTCAGTGAAAATAGCTTTCAAAATGAAATGAGAAATACATAGGTTTTCAGACATACAAAGCTGAAAGTGGTTGTCACCAGTACAATTCTACTACAAGATATGCCACAGGAAGTCCTTCAGGGAAATGGAATATGATTTCAGATAAAATTTGGCTATACAAAGTAATGTAAGTGTACTGGAGATGGTAACCACATCAATAAATCAAACAGATATTTTCCTGTGATTTAGATGAGCATAGATGTTAACAGAGCCAAAAAAAAAAAAAAAAAAAAAAAAAAATGAATGAAGGGGCACAACAACGTGGGGAGAAGCCGCCTAGTTTTTACTCATTTCAAGGAGAAACTGTAACTAATTAATGAATGGACCTAACATCTAACTTATTTTATTAAGACTCCCAATAACTCATTCAGTAACCTTCTCAAGCCCCTGGCAATGTGTTCTCAGATCCCTTCCTATGTGAAGTTCGCTCTTAGAAGCTGCCTACAGATCCTGTCCCTCAGCCTCTCCATCTCATGTCCAGCAACGGAGAGGAAATTGGCAACCCAACTAATTCCTTCTCTCCTTCAGAGTTCTTTCAAACATCCCTCTTTGGGAGGGAAGTACTCCGAGTGAAATAGTTTAATGTTCTAAACAATGCATGTATGTATATATATTTTATGTTTGACCCTACTCCACCTCCTAAAATTCTTTCTCTTTTTTTGGATGTTTGGAAATGCCACAGACATCTTACTACTATGAGGGGAGCAATCAATAATATCCTGAAGATGGCAGAGCAGAAAGAGGAAATAATTTTGATGAGCAGCTCATGGAATCCTCAAAATTCTATGAGTTGCTGTATTTATCAATTCTGAAAACACCCAATTTCAAGGCTTCTTGATACACGAACTAAGAAATCTCCTAGTTACTAAGGAAAAAAAAATCCCTTCTCCAGCAGAGACCACTTTTACTACGAACTTAAAATCTTTCTTCTTTATCCTCAGCCTAAACTGTACATTATGACATTGAGATTAGCATTGCCAAACTCCACAGCCACTTCTTACCCCAAGCCAGGAGAGAAAGAAAGCGTGCTGTGTGGTAGGGCTTGAAGTCCTCATTAGGTAGGCAGCTGCATGTCTGATCATGGCAAGAGCTTACTCTTGCTTAATTTCCCTCATCCTTACATCCATACATGCTAACTCTCTCCCCTGACAATTTACCTGATTTAAAAGCTTTGTGTCAAATGAAGTTACTCTTCCATTCCATCTAGCAAAAGCCTGGGCTGAAGATAATTAACAAGGGACTGCCCAGAAGGTTCTGTTTTATCTCTAGCTTGAGCCATCTGCCTCAAAGCTCACAACAGCTCAAGTAAAGAGAGTTATCTGGAGCAAAGACAATTAGTTTTAGGCTACAGAAAGGTTGTCTAGGCTTTGAAATCTGGGCACTGAACAATGACTGACCAGCTACTTGCCTGGGAGGCAATGAGAAGAGAATGGAAGGTGATAGCAACAAGGTGAAATGGAGAACGATGGGCTTAAAAGAGAGATAAGACAAAAAATAATATCAGCTTAGCATCATAAATGCAGAGTTCTTGGTTTTCAGTACTTTTGCATTTTAAAACAATACTGTACTGGAATGGGTTAACATCATCATCTTTAGCATCCTGGTAGCATTATTCAGTAGTTAATACAAATCAAGGCATGAAATTGTATAATATAACTTGAAGATACACTGTCATAAGTTAAAGACATTTAAAATGGAATCATGAAACATACCTAATTAATTCAAAAGAAGGCAGAACAAGAGGAAAAGAGGAATAAAGAGAAGATGAGACAAATAGAAAACAATTAGCAAAATATAGAATCATGTCGTCTGCAAACAGAGACAATTTGAATTCCTCTCTTACTATTTGAATACCCTTTATTTCTTTCTTTTACCTGATTACCCTGGCCAGAACTTACAATACTGTTTTGAATAGGAGTGGCAAGGGAAGGCATCCTTTAGTCTTAGCCCCAAAATTTCTTAAGCTAATAAACAACTTCAGCAAAGTCTCAGGATACAAAGTCAATGTGCAAAAATCGCAAGCATTCCTATACACTATCAATAAACAAGCAGAGAGTCAAATCATGAGTGGACTCTTATTCACAATTGCTACAAAGAGAATTCAAAGAGAATTAAATACCTAGGACTACAACTTAGGAAGGATGTGAAGGACCTCTTCAAGAACTACAAACCACTGCTTAAGGAAATAAGGACACAAACAAATGGAAAAACATTCTATGCTTGTGGATAGGAGGACTCAATATCATGAAAATGGCTACAATGCCCAAAGTAATTTACAGATTCACTGTTATTCCCATCAAGCTACTAGTGACTTTCTTCACAGAATTAGAAAAAAACTACATTAAATTTCATGTAATCAAAAAGGAGCCCATGTAGCTGAGACAATTCTAAGCAAAAAAGAACAAAGGTGGAGGCACGATGCTACCTGACTTCAAACTATACTCCAAGGTTACAGTAACCAAAATAGCATGATATTGGTACCAAACATATATATAGACCAATTGAACAGAACAGAGACCACAGAAATAGCACCACACATTTACAACCATCTGATATTCAACAAACCAGACAAAAACAAGCAATGCGGAAAAGATTCCCTATTTAATAAATGGTGCTGGGAAAACTGGCTAGTCATAAGAAGAAAACAGAAACTGGACCTGTTCCTTACACCTTATGCAAAAATTAATTCAAGATGGATTAAAGACTTAAATGTAAAACACAAAATCATAACAACCCTAGAGAAAACCTAAGCAATACCATTCAGGACATAGGTATGGACAAAGATTTCATGACTAAAACACGAAAATCAATTGCAACAAAGGCCAAAATTGACAAATGGGGTCTAATAAAATTAAAGAGCTTCTGCACAGCAAAAGAAATTATCATCAGGGTGAACAGGCAACCTACAAAATGGGAGAAAATTTTTGCAAGCTACCCATCTGACAAAGGTCTAATATCCAGAAACTACAAGGAATTTAAACAAATTTACAAGAAAAAAATCCAACCCCATTTAAAAGCGGGCAAAGGATATGAGCAGACACTTCTCAAAGAAGACATTTACGTGGCCAACAAACATATGTAAAAAAGCTCATCATCACTGGTCATTAGAGAAATGCAAATAAAACCACAATGATATACTACTTCATGCCAGTCAGAATGGCAATTATTAAAAAGTCAGGAAACAACAGATGCTGACAAGGCTGTGGAGAACTATGAACACTTTTACACTGTTGGCAGGAGTATAAATTAGTTCAACTATTGTGGAAGACAGTTTGGTGATTCCTCAAGGATCTAGAACCAGAAATATCGTTTGGCCCAGCAATCCCATTACTGGGTATATATTCAAAGGATTATAAATCTTTCTACTACAAAGACACATGCACACATATGTTTATTACAGCACTATTTACAATAGCAAAGACTTGGAACCAACCCAAATGTCCATCAATAATAGACTGGGTAAAAATATGTGGCACATTTACACCATAGAATACCATGCAGCCATAAAAAAGA